CCTCTGTACTTCCTGCTTGTTTATCCAACATGAGCCCTAGACCAACCAGAGATCGGGGACTGATATTCTGGGAATGATCCCAATCAGTGCCTGTCGACCTACAATAAATCTGCCTCCAGATCCTGGGTGTCATTTTGGTGTTTCCGCTTGCTGTTTTAGGATGACTGAAAAAGGTTGGAAGGTAAGAAATAGGGAAACTCCTTTCCTATTCAAATATTTCAAGGAAGAGCACTAAATTATACTTACATTTCTTACCTCACACTTAATCCTCAAAATCCTATGAGAGAGATGAATCTGAACTTCATCACTTAAATGGCTTCAGATCAGTCATAGCTATACTCTTGTGATTTTTAACTTCTCCAAGTAGACAGAATAAAGTGTCCTGAAAGGTGTTCAGTTCTAATCTCTACAGTTTGTGATCACCTTCCACTACAAAGGGAAATTAAGATAATCAACTGATGATAAAATAAGGAGATTGTCCTGGGTTATGGGGTGCACCCTATGTAATCATAGGGAAGCTCAAAAGTAGAAGAGGGAGGCATAAGAGACATAATAATGCGGTTTGAGGAGGACTCAATCTGCTACTGCTGGCTCTGCAGATGCCAAAAGAGGGTGATGAGCAGAGGGATGTTGGGGGCTTCTAACAGCTGGGCTGAGCAGGAAAAAGAGATCCTCCCCAGAGCGGCAGGAAAGGACGGAAACTCTGCCAACACCTTGATTTTAGTTCATTAAGATCCCATCAGACTACTCACTACATGTTATGTCAAATGTGTAGTAGCTCGTCACGGCAGAAACAGAAAACACATCAAGCTTCTAATCCTTAGACCTTAGAAAATTTTGACAATAATTACTACTACTACACGGTCATACACTCCTACACACTGCCTGTCTGTGAACTGTTTGGTACCATTCTCCACGGAGATTAAATACAAAAAATTTGTTCTTATATAATCCTACTTCACATCTGCTGAACCTAGCAATAAAAACACTCAGGCTTGTAATTACACCTATTTTCTCTATTTCATTTACGTAGGAATTTTACTGTATTTCACAAAAGTATTGGCTGAAACAGAATTAAAGAAAAAAAGCAAAGGGCAGCCTCCAAAAGATTAACTGCGCATGCTCAGAAACAGTAACACCACCATGCACCTATTTAAATAACACATGTTCATACGGAAAGTCTTGTCCACCAGACACCAAGCTCCATGCTGGAGCTATTCGGTGTGCACGACACAGCACAGCTCTGCCTCTCCCAGGGAGTCCACTTTGCCTCCGAGCCCCAGGAGTCACCTGGGACCGCCTCCTGGCAACCCTCTCCGCAGCGCCCCTACTCCCGCGGCCAGCGCTCGCCCCGCGAAGAGCCAAGCTAAAGCGCGTGGGACAGCAGGCGAGGCACGCGAATGCCGCCTGAGCGCACCATCAGTGAAGAAAAAGCGCCAACCCCGGGCTTGGGTGCCAGGGGCCACCGCCAGAGACCGGACGTACGGCCCGCCCGCCCCGCCTGGCCCCGCCGACGGAAGACGCAGGACCCGAAACCCGGCCCCGGCCCAGCCGGCCGCAG